ATAAAAGGCATACACCTAAGAAAAGTTCTAATCCACTATCATCTAAAAATAACACAAAGTAAAATACTTTTAAATCCGATTAATATATATATAAAAAATTTCTTATATTTAAGAATATTCAACTTAAATGGATAAAAAAACATTATAAATGGTTTGTGGTGAGTGACAAACCACATAGAGTCAGTCCAACCAAGAAAATTACTATGATGGCATCATCATGACTCATATTGGGCATCAACAACAGATGCACGGATCTCACTGACCACAGCATGCAACAAGGATCGGCTACCAACCCTGTAAATGCATGAACACGACCACCCACTATAAACAGGAAGACTGACAACTACGCCAGACCCGATTGATTCCACATAAACTATTCTTCCAGGAAGAACTCCTCCTCCTCCTCCTCCTCCTCCTCCCACTCCATGATTCGTGACGGCTGATGATGCTGATATATTCGTGACAATGATCGATTAACCACAATCGTTGATCGAATACTAACTTTGTGGGACGTTCGTTAACTATGGTGAGCGTCTTCATCATCGGCTAGAAAGGTGATAACGAGAAGCTTGAATTGGTCTGACCGTCGAAAAGAATCATTCTGGAAGTCAGGCGATGACTCGGTGATTTTGATTGAATTGATCTCTTCAAAGCTAGCATCCTAAGCATATATTTGATGATAGCTAGCATCCACTTTATCCCCCAAGGCATACATTTGATGATCTGTCGACATGCCCAAGCTTACCGAGTCTGCTATTTTATGTTCATGCTATCGTAGCATATTTGATGCATGGTAGGTTTGAGTCAAGATCATAAGCTAAGAACACAAGGAAGAAGAAGAAGAAGAGTTAGTAGATGGCTTGCTGACGATGGATTAAACTGGCATGGGGTGGCTTCGATTGCTGTCTAATGCGTGTATGAAACGTATACTCAATCATTGGTAGGTAGATATATATATATATATACTATCGAGTCCTATGTTTGTAATCTTTGTTGTTGGAGATCATATCATATCGCATAAACAAATCGGAGGCTCACGACTATGGCTACCAAAATGCACTCAGATGTCGATAATCCATTTCGAACATAAGAACAAACGCTACTTCCTTTTCATTCATGGCCATTTGTCTCAGGCAAGATCGCACAAACTGACATGAAATATTCGGGTTTGGTTTCTGCTTTCATGGTACAAGGCAAGAAGAAATTTCCTGGATCCATAGAATGCATCAAAGGCAATGAATGATGCAACGACTGTCGTTGTATCACATCACATCAAAGGAAGACATGAGACCGATTCCTGTTCCTTCTCCCACCCATTCTCCTCCAGATATTGTTATCCATGGGAGGGAGAAGTCGGTCAACCTTCATTTCCTGAATACAATACCCGACCATTCCACCGAAACACAGACAATGAGAGAGTGGAAGACTCATGTATATAAGCGTAGCCAATCTCTAAGACAGGCATCATATCTCCTTCATCGGGGAACCATGAGCAGCACAGGGTTTCATGGGTGCTTGTTATGCATCCTCTTCCTCTCTCTCCCCCTCCTCTCCCTGGCCGAGAACTATCCCCCACCCAACCCGAGGCTGGAGAAGGCCTACGTGGCTCTGCAGGCATGGAAGCACGCCATCACGGCTGACCCCAAGAACTTGACCCACGATTGGTGCGGTCCGCACGTCTGCAACTACACCGGCGTGTACTGCGCGCCGGCCCTCGACAACCCCCACGAGTTCACCGTCGCCGGCATCGATCTCAACCACGGCACCCTCGAGGGGACGCTACCGGAGGAGCTCGGCCTCCTCTCCGACCTCGCGCTCTTCCACCTCAACTCCAACAAGTTCCGCGGCGCCCTGCCGTCGTCCTTCAAGTGCTTGAAGCTCCTGTACGAGCTCGACGTGAGCAACAACCAGTTGGAGGGGTCGTTCCCCTCCGTCGTCTTGGAGTTGCCCAGCCTCAAGTACCTCGACATCCGCTACAACCGGTTCTGCGGCGACGTCCCCTCCTGCGTCTACAACCTCAAGCTCGACGCCTTGTTCATCAACAACAACGACTTCACCTTCTCGATTCCCGACAACATTGGCAACTCCCCCGTGTCGGTGCTCGTCTTCGCCAACAACCAGATCAGTGGCTGCTTCCCCAAGAGCATCGGCAACATGCACGAGACCCTCCGAGAGCTGATCATCCTGAACACCGGCCTCCGAGCGTGCATACCGCCGGAGATCGGGATGCTGAGGAAGCTGAGGGTGCTCGACCTGAGCTACAACCACCTGGTCGGCCCGCTGCCGGAGAGCATCGGGGAGATGAAGAAGCTGGAGCAGCTGGACGTGGCGCACAACAAGCTCTCGGGGAAGATACCATGCAGCATCTGCGACCTGCCGAGGCTGAAGAACTTCACCTACTCCTACAACTACTTCTGCGAGGAGCCACCGAGTTGCCTGAAGATCAAGACCCACGACGATCGCAAGAACTGCTTCCCGTTCCGTCCGGACCAGAGGCCCGAGGAGCAGTGCATGGCCTTCCTGTCCAAGCCGAGGTACTGCGACTCCAACGGGTGCATCGCGCACCCCCCACCGCCTCCACCACCACCTCCTCCGCCGCCGCCGCCGCCCGTTCATCATCACTACTGAGACCCACCGGTGGGTGACCGCTACATGTGTTTACGATTATCATATGTCAAATTGGATGGAAAAACTGCAATGATTTGTGGACTTTTAGGTTCGTTGAACAGAGAATAAGGACTCGTAAGCTTCTTAGGATCCTTCTTCTTCCTTTTGCACACGGTGATTGCAGAATAAATGACATTGTAGCTACCATTGACAGGGACATGCAGTGCTATATGAATGCTTTTTCCTTGAATCGATGCCCTGTAGAAGATTTGTCATGATCCTACTCCAAAAACCACATTGATCAAACCTTAAAAGAACAGATAACAATGGGACAGACCTGAGACATCGTTACATTATACTCAGCATGATCATGTAGCAGGGGTCACCTAACAGAGTGCTTGGCCTTTCCTCCGTCAATGTCTCAAGGGTGACAGCCTGTTCTGTACCGCAGACTGGGAGACTATTCAATGGTTATTTGATTGTTGACATGATCGGAACAAGGAGCTGTTGTTAGCCACTCTCTTTCTCCACGCCTAATGCCAACAGAAGGGTCTTCGAACTGAAATGGTCAGCCGCCTCCACAGCTTAAAGATTCAAAGTAGATGTTTGGTAGAAATTATTATTATCTTCAGTTTTCTTATATCTGTCATCCAAAACATTCAACACATTATAAAATATTCCTCTCAACGAATGGTCGATTTTTATAGGGGAAGACGATGGTTGGCTTTGCTCATGGAACCCACTGTGGGTGTGCCCCACACGTAGGTCAACGCATCACTTGGTCAGACTCGCGTGGCCTTATATCATTGGATCCATTTGGGTCAGTTTCACACGTGGCTTTATCTCATCGTTTCCTCCAAACCACCACGACCCACTTTGTGGGTCCGCTTCTCAGTATCCCACTCTTTTTATCCAATGACAAGACAGGTACGGAAACGAGTAGTGTAACGCATGGGAAACGTATTTATATCCCTGGAACAAATCCCTCAGTAATGAATCAACGGCCGAGATCACCTTTACGCTTCCCCTTCGCCCACACATCGCCGCCGACCAGACGAGCACGCGAAGGAAGAAGATGGCGTCCATAACTCGTCGCAAATTCCCAGTTCGAACCTTAGATTCGCCGATGAGAGCGTCCGTATCTTGCCGCCGTCTGCATAGGCCAGCTACCTCGACGCCTCCGACATCATCGAGGCCGCCCACCGGATTGGCGGATAGATTGGCCCTAAAAGGTTCCTTATGTCTCGAACAACAAGTCACTGATCCTTATTTGGTTCGTGTGTTTTGGTGCTCTTCGGATCTCTTGTTGTTGCTTGTAGTTATGTATTGAAGTAGGTAGGGATTGGGTGATGGACGAACCTCCGATTACTTTTGAATGTGAGAATCTAGCTGTTGCAAGCTTAGCCAAAAAGTGTGTGGATTTTAGGCGAGTAAAGATGTTTAGGTTCCTGAAACATCTAAATTTTCATTTTAATAGGAGGAGCAGGTTCCACAAATTCAATCTTTGATTTCACATTATGCGAACCTAATAGGAGTTGGCAAAAATTGTCATTTGGAAGTTAGTATTGACACTGTAAAGTGCGAAATGGAGAAACTTGAAATGAGAGGTTTCATTCTGCTTTTTCTTATGAAGGTCTTGGGAGTAGTTTGGCCTTCTCCATAAACAAAGTCAGGACTCATGTTACATCAGAAATATCCAGCACCATTGTTTTCTTTCATTTGTTTGAGTCTCTACATAAAAAAGGAAATTTGATGTTAGGTTAATATGAAGATAAAAGTGTTTCGTTAATATAAAAAACTAAAAAAGATCAATATAGGCTCTTTTCAAGGCTTATAAAGTGTATTTAAGCTGTCAGTCATGCTGTAGTGCTAGGTAAACTGTGCAAGCTATGATGTTTCAGGAACTATTTCCAATTCCTGATGTCCCCATGTTTTAGATCATCCACCCAGGTAAACTGTACCATTGTCTACCATGGGTGACAAATGGTCTTTTCCAGCATTATAGCTGATACTTAATCTTTTTGTCATGCAGACATGTGCATTATGCATATGGCACTAACTTCACAGTTTAATTATGATATTTAATGCCATCTGTTTTTAGTGAGAATTGCTGCTCGGTGGTCAACTCTTATTCTGTACCTTCATGATAGAAGGTCACAAATTGAATGAAGATCTCAGGTTTGTTACATATGTTACCATCATCTTAGAGCTGGTTACCTTTTTTTTGAAGATGGATATTTGCTTTGTCTTAGGAAGCACAACCAACAAAATCTTCTTCTCATACACGGAGAGATATATATATTTACGCTTTTTCCGTATACTTTTTTTTCTAAAAAAATTAAAACATTACCATCCATCAAACTATTCTTGTGCTGCTGCTTCAATGCAGTTAGAGTATGGATTAGTTCTGAATTAGGAAATTTCATTGAAAATTGTCTGTTGAAAATACATTTATAGAATCTAAAAAATTCCCCCCCTTTCTTTTGTTCACTGATTGCTTTTTTTCAAGGTATGAGAACATACCAAGGTCCAGATGAATTTGTTGAATCTTTTGTGGGAGCACAACATGAAGCTGCTGATTCCTGTGGCACAAATGCTCTCTTATCAGAGAAACACATAAGTCATCCCAGGCATGTGGAAGTACAGGTATCATTTTTGTATAGAACTATCTATGCCGTATCACTAAACTGCATTCATGGTGTACTTAAGATCACACCATCTTTTCTGCAATGGTTACCTGCCTTTTTCTTTTGTACCACCCACTAATGTGTTTTCACTAATATAAGTGAACATGCAGCATTCTTTGAGTTTAACAAAATTTCCTCAACGATCTGTATAATCCAGACTAGTTCTTTGATTCAAAAAAAAAAAATTTATCGAAGTCTACACCATGATTCATGCAGCATTCTTTAATTCATGCTGCCATTTATCCCATGCTCACCTTTTCAGTTGAAAATGCATATCTACAAACAATGGATTTTTGGCTACTTTGTACTGACAAGTTGACTGAATATGCTCACCTTCAATTTACTGTAGCGAAGTCATTGTTATATTCAACATTAATATGCTCAGTTGTCTTTTTTCCTATGGTTCATACTAGAATATATTCTGAATACAAGGATCCCCGTGCTTTTGCAGGTTGCAGAATTACCTACCAGCATAAATCTTCTCTAGCTTTCTTGCACAAGAAGTGATGTAAGTGTTAATAATAATATTAATTTAATGTTCCGATTAATGCAAATAGCAGGTAAAATTGTGAGGAATGTGCTAAATGTATTCCTCAAGAGATTGTGAGCATGATCAAAGACCTTAACATCTACTTCCATGTCTTTGCAGGGTTTCTCTTCACATTTCTCCATCTTGGTTCAGATGGTAAGTCTCGTATTCTTGAGTACAATTTGGACTGAAACTTTCAAGACCAGAATAATCAAATCTCCTTGTGTCCCAGAAGTTTCCTTGCCATGCTACCAAATCTGTTGAAAAACCAGGGTTCAGGCTTGACTCAAGAACCTGGCACAGTCATATGTCCATCATGGCTGATGTGCTTGCCCGTTTTAGCTGAGACATCCAATTAGGCAGAGACCCACAAGACTCATTCTAAGTCATCATCATCATGGCATCCTCTATTGTCTTCTTATATTACCTGTTGAGTTGAATTCGGTAAATATTTCTTGCATTTAAAGGTCCCATACTTTTAAAAGTATGATACTTTTCCGTGCACAATTGTCTGCCCATGGACAAATTACTTAGTGTTGGGCTGCCTAACTTATTTAGGTTAGATTGAGGGCTTTAGATCTCATCTTGTGACCAGAATCAATGATAAAATCTTGTTATCATAATTTATTATTCAAAAATAAATGAAGAAGTCTTGTGTTGTCCATCTACTTTGAAGACCTCATAATGGTAAATGTAAATGGTTTCGCTTGCATATAATTGATGTGTATTTTTTTTTGGTGATTATTTGGTCAACTATTCTGCCAATTAAACTACTAGTCTCAAAAAGTTGACTTGACCAAGTCTAAGGAGATGTCTTGGTTATTATATAAGTATTTTATTTTTAGGCTTTGATGTGCATGGTTTTTAGGTTTTGAATTTTGGATCTACATTACCATTTTTTTTTTGGCGTATATCCCTTGTGAGATCAAGAATGATAGGGTAATAAATTTCATTCACTCTATTTGATTGTGTGGATAAGATTACAAACATTGATTCCTTTTTTTGATCGACCAAAGATTTGATTTGTTTTTGTTATAAAGAGGTTGAGCCTCAACCTTCGGGCCAATAGAGAGCTGCCAAGTGGACTCATGGTTCTAAGGTAGTTTGAGATGATCAGAATTCGAGTCGAATTAGGGCTTAATTCGTACCTCTTTATGGCTTCCCCCTCTTTATGGACTCGCTCCTTTCTCCTCTCGTGGGTTCGCCCTTTTTTTCTTTTTCTCTCTTCTCCGTCTCCCTCTTTCCTTGCTGATGTGCGTGGAAGCAGTCGGGTTGCGTGGCGCATAGAATTTCCAACCTCACGGCCATCTCCCCTTGTCGCGCGCTGCTGGTGACGCCCCAGGTGATGTCACGCTCTTTCTCTTTCCGCCAAAGCAAAGGCATTGGAGGAGCCAATCGGAAGCCACATCCGAGGCTTTTTGATCGCCCCTCCGTCAACGAATTCGGCTGTTTCTTCTTCCTTTTTTCTTCTTGCGCCTGTTTTGACTCCTCCGCCTCCTCCTCCTCCTTGTAGGCTCGCGTTGTTGTCGTTGATTCGTTTTCCAACGGAGTTGCTGACCTTTGCTGAATTGGCTGCCCTTTCCTGCCTCCTTCCGGCCGGATCGGTGTTTCTCGCGTTTTTCTCGCTGGTAGTAGAACTGTAAAGATCGGATCTTGAAGAGAGTTGTTGCCGAATTCAGCTGAGGTGGTTAAGTTGATTGATATTGCGTTTGGTTGGGGAAATTCTGCGTAGGAGAGCGTGTAATCGAGGGATAAAGGAGCGATTTTGAGGGGAGTTTATTTCGATTCTTTATCCGTTTTCGTTGTGATGTGGAGCCACTGAAGGGTACAAAAAGATCGGATCGTCTGTAGCTTTGTATCTGTCTTGACATTGGGACTGTTGGGTTGATCTGTCGTCATGGATTTGGGCAGCAGAAAGAAAGAGAAGGGTCCTGAAGTGAAGGATTTGGGGGATAAACCAAAACTAAAGGGATTCAGAAGCTTTGGGAGTAACGATATGTTCTTCAGAGCAGACAAGATTGATTTGAAGAGCTTAGATATCGAGTTGGAGAAGCAAATAAACAAAGCATGGAGCAAAGAGAATGGTGGTGCCAAAGGGCCGAAGGAGGAATGGGAGATTGATCTATCTAAGCTGGAGATTCGCTATGTTATAGCTCAGGGGACATATGGTATTGTGTATAGAGGAACTTATGATGGGCAGGACATTGCAGGTACTTTTTTGTTTCACTTTTGGTGCTAAATGTTGCATTCTCTACTTACTTGAGTTTCTACATGCACATCTTATATCGTTTTGATTTAGTGAAAATTTATTGCAACCTCATAGCTCTATTTACTTCATAATCCTGATCAATTGATATTGGAATGTTGTGGTTGTTGTTTGAACAATTAATACTGCCTTCTGATCAAGGTTTTTAATTTCGAATAATACCACCCGTACCGGACGCTACGTACCGATCTGCCAGCAGATTGATACGCGGACCGCTCACTACCGGGCGATACCGTCGATGGGAGCTGTTTCCGCTCTGTTGCCATCTTAAATCGGTCGGTGACGGTTGATTTCAACCATCGTCGCTCGTTACCGAGTGGTATTAGCCGAGGGAGAAGAAAGAAGAGGGAGAAGAAAAGGGAAACCTGGATATTTGGCGCTGCTCTCCCTCGACGATCCCGATACGTTGCATTTGTCTGCCATCATTTATTCAAAGCTGTGAAGCTACAAGAGGATAATTATTCGGAGGGGATGGCATCTTTAAACCATTAGTTATGGCACATAATATTGTGATAGGTATTACTGCAGTTGTTACTTGCCTGAGACACTAAGCCAGGATTCTTAGTCACCTGCCACTCTTTCCATTGTCCTTTAAATGATCAAACACTGACACTGTCAACTGTTCATCAAGTTCGGTGGCACCAGCACCCACCCTGCTGCTTCTAAATCCATTGCCTTTGTCTATAGGTACCCATCCTAGCACTAGTGTGACATGGGCACTTGGAGGCCATCCTCCTTGCGGACAGTACATGAATTCATGTCCCAATTACTCCTGAAAAACTAATTGGTCATCTTCATTTCAGTTGGGTTCATGTATTCATTCACCAAAATAAATCCAAGCACTTGATTGCATCCAGTGTAAAGGAAAAAACCACTGTGTGGAGAAGTACAAAATTCTCATCTTCATCTTTGGCACCTTCGGAAAATAGTAATGGTCAAGTGTGTGCAATTAACTTTGATTGGGTCCTCCTCTTTATTATCAATAAAATGTTACATCTTTTTCTGATTATAATAGATGTATTTGAGACACAATGTACTTTGTTTTAGCAATATGAATACATGCTTTCTACATGATTATATACTAGTTGGTCTCCGTCAATTCTGGTGCTCTGCATGAATTTTTTTTGGTGATTATAAAATATAGTATATTGGAGAGCATAAAGTACTTTGGTTTAGTTACATGAATGCATGCTTTCTACGTGACTATATACTTGTTGGTTACAGCCAATTCTGGTGTCCTGCTTAATCCCCAAACCAAAAGCTAGCCTGATCAAACCAAATTCTTCAAATCAGTTCAGTCTAGGACCCACAATTTTGTCAGTTTATTTGCCCACTCTTGCTGGTAGCAAGGTTAACATGCAGATTTAAGTTACCTACATCCACTCAGATTCTCTAGTTGCAGGAGCCACATGCACTGGGCTTCTTTTGTAGTAATTTAAAGTGCATAAATACACTACTGCGCTTGTTATCAATAAAGGTGTATTTTTGTTTCTTCAGCTTTTTGGCTGCTGATGGAATTAATAAAATCAATATATGTGTTTTTTTATTTAACACAGTTTAGCCATGCTTCTATTGGATTTAATGCGAAGAATTATCTGTGTAATATAGATCATAATCTCATTGAGAAAACTTGCATGTTCTGTGGAATGCATGATTATGGTTCATTAACCAGTCAGAGATTTACCCTTCTGTTGGACTTGGGGTTCTTCTTTAACTGCCCTAATTTGATTATAGCCCTTCTGCGCTAGTTGAGAAAATGATCAACTTTTTTAGAGTGGTTGTTGTTAACATCATGTATCAAGAACAGATTCAGACATTTACTTGTAATGTTGTAGATTTTGTTACCAGTATTATTTTGTTTTTGTAGTCTCAAAATTTAGAATACATAATAATCATTCTTATAATGTAGTTAAAGTGTTGGACTGGGGAGAAGATGGTGCGGCCACAGATGCTGAAATTGCTTCTCTTCGGGCATCGTTTAAGCAGGAAGTTGCTGTTTGGCATAAACTTGACCATCCAAATGTTACAAAGGTAAGCAACTTTTTGGAGGTGCAATGACAATCAATCTTGAACTTCGATGATGCTATTAATACTTGTGTTGGTCTGTCAAAAATCTTAGCTATATTATATTTGATTACATCTTGACTGTTGTTTTGTCATGTTTTACAATGTGCAAATCTTCCAACCATTTTCTGGTGAATGATTATGAGCTACTTGTTCTATGTTTATTGTGCAAATTTCTCTGGTACAGTGATAATTAGAGATTTCTTGTTACAGTTTGTTGGGGCATCAATGGGAACTACCGATCTCAAGATTCCACAAAAGAATTCCACAAGCAGTGGACAAACTTCACTTCCAACTCAAGCATGTTGTGTTGTGGTTGAGTATCTTCCTAGGGGAACATTAAAGCAATATTTAATCAAAAACAGGCGAAAGAAGCTTGCATACAAGGTTGTTGTTCAGCTTGCATTGGATCTATCGAGAGGGTGAGTAATGGTAGAAATGTATGTCTTTGCTATCAAAACGTTTGGATGAGCTGAACCATCATGTTAAGCAATTTACAATGTTGCAGATTAAGCTATCTACACTCGCAAAAGATTGTGCATCGGGATGTCAAGACTGAGAACATGTTACTGGATGCCAATTCGAATCTCAAAATTGCTGATTTTGGGGTTGCCCGTGTTGAGGCTCAGAATCCTAGGGATATGACTGGTGCCACGGGTACTCTTGGGTACATGGCTCCAGAGGTGCTTATCTCTCTTCCATTTTCCGTAAACCTTCAAGTATCAGTTTTATCTTGCTTAGGTGCTGCAACTTTGATCATCTAGAATATTTTAACTAAATAAGTGGATGCATCATATGAGCGCTATCTCCCACATGTTATTGATACAATTGAAACATGAGTTAGTCAAATATTTTTTTTACTTTTTAAACATTCAAGAAAATTCACTAAAATAACTTGTGCAGGTCCTTAATGGTAAACCTTACAATAGAAAATGCGATGTATACAGCTTTGGCATATGTTTATGGGAAATCTACTGTTGCGACATGCCATATGCTAATCTCAGCTTCGCAGAAGTCTCCTCTTCTGTTGTTCAAAAGGTATGTTGTGCCCACGATTTTGAGCTTGATGATATCTCATACTTAGGCCTACCAAGGCCCAATGTGAACTTGTCCTTTGAAATGTAATATACTCGGATGCTTAGAGATGTAAAACAAAGGCCGTAAGTTGCTTCTTGCATGACAGAATCTACGACCAGAGATCCCACGGTGTTGCCCGAGTGCTATGGCAAGCATTATGAGGAAGTGTTGGGATGCCAATCCAGATAAAAGGCCCGATATGGACGAGGTCGTGCGGCATTTAGAAGCACTCAACACAAGCAAAGGTGGTGGGATGATACCTGAAGACAAGGCACATGGTTGTTTCTGCTTCACCACTAAACGCGGTCCATAGGCATATTGTGCTGTACTTTTATGGTATACGATGAGGAGCTTTGGAATCCAATTATGCCAAATTACTATGTTGTTACTCGTCAGCTGCCAAAGTCAAGTGGTTGCAAAAAGGTTTCATGCATTGATATGGTGTGGGTTCTTGAATAAAGGTTGACACCCTCTGCAGAGCTACTTACGGTCTTGACCTCCATTATGTAAAGCATGTCTTGCATTTGGCAGACAAATAATTGCTGCAATTGCATTTATATGAAGAAACGCAAACGTGTTTGTATTTTGGTTTCATCCTGAAATTTGCAAATATTGGTGGGAAAAATCCAAGTGAGGAACATTACAAGATGATAGATAATCTTTCTGATACTAAAATATGGGAAGAGTCGATAGAAGCGAAGAGGTACTCTTTGTGTCTGGAGCTTCGATCATTCAGGACTTATCTTGTAATAGTAATGTTTACCATGGTGTTCAAGCTTGCTGTCTCAAACTTAGATCACTAGATACAATTATATTTTCAATGTGAAAGGTAATACCCATTAGAGTTTTGTATTACTGTTGGATTGCTCGCTCTCACTTGTGAGCAAGGTTTCTCTTATATCAGTTATATTGGTGTTATACCGATCATTAGTATGGTGCATATCGTGATATATCAACGTTTCATATGTCAGTATTGATATATCATATGTGGATGTACCATTTGTTGATATGGTAAAATTATCGAAATAGCTTCAAAAATTTTTAAAAAATAAAAAATATTATATTAGTTTTTTTAAATTAGAAATAAATATAAATTTAGTAAAACATAATTTAAATTAAAAAAGAATAGTGATACATTTTTATTAGCTTTGAGAAATATCTTTGTGGTACGTTATGAATCTTTTTTTATTAATATTGAATTATCTAAAATTATTCTTAGATTATTTTTTAAATAATTTAAATTTTAAGATTCAAATAAATCGAATAATTAATCGATGGATATGCTTGATCTTCTTAGAAAAAAAAAACGAGACTCTAAAGGCGATGGATTCATGCTTAAAAAACAAACTTGATCATGATCAGCTTGTGAAGCTTTGTGAAAATTGATGTTTGAAGCTTCAAATGAAGCTTTTGGATTCATGCTTTTGGATCACAGAGTGAAGCTTTTGGATTCATGCTTTACAGAGTGAACATCAAATTAATTATATTATGTATTGGTCTGCCCAATAATAAGTTGAGTCAAATGGATCCAAGTGCAACTCACTGTGATATATCTCATTGATATCTGGGCCAAGCTTCTCTCTTTTTCCACTGGTTGCTGAGTGGGACTTGATCTTATCTCACTTTCACATCATTATCACAGAGATAGAGAGGGACAGAGAGAGAGAGAGAGAGAGGAATCTTAGATTTTTGTGAAATCTGGGACAGGCTGAGTCAACCCAGATATGCACTCCTCACTGTTTTCAGAAATTAATTCCACATTCATCTCATTCATTCATTCAATGGAAGTTTCAAAACAAAAAAATAAATACAAGAGTGTTTGGCAACAATCAAATCTATTGGTAGTTTGAAGCTTCCACTTCATATAAAAGCCATGAAGAAAGATGCAAGTGAAGAGCTTGTGCCAGCAATTCATCATCAATTGTACCTCAAGTCCATGTTTGTCACCAACCAACATTTTTTTTTCATTTCTTATTTGTATCTATTTATTGGATGATTCAGTCAACAACAAACTTTCCTACAGTCTTGAGTCCAATGTTTTGAGAACTGAAGGTGGCTTTTTCTGCAACTCACACATCAATTACTCCTTTTTATGTGAACAGCTCCTGGAAAATGACATGAGGAAAAGGCCAAGACTGAGGAGGGCACAAGGCCTAGTTGGGAGAAAACCCTTTTGAGAGAGGAAAGCTAAATAAGATGGGTGAGAAGGCTATCTTAAAGCTGGAAACAAAAAAAAAAAAAAAAAAAAACAAAGAAAAAAGAGGGAGAGGAAGAAGATGCTTTGCGCAAAGCACTGACAGATAGATGTCTCCTTTGACTGCTCCCCCCCCCCCCCCCCCTCTTTCTTTTTCCCCAAAAAAATT